CGATTAAGGATCCCCGACGGAATCCGAAACGTCAGGACGATAAAACTCTTGTTCTGAACTGCTTCTTGGAACTCGCATATTCTCCACTACTGACAATTCGTCGCCTAGTCGTACCGCCCGCTTATGTCCATGTATGCGCGATCTGAGCATGCGTTGAGTTTGCCCTGTATGGGATGCGATACACTACTCCAGATTGTTCATTTGGATTCAGCCGGCATTTTATTTTCATTACCCTGCTGCGTATCGGAGCTTTGGGTCTGTGTGCAATTCCGACACCTAGTCCTGCAGCGATGCGCTCAGTCCTTGATGTAGGGCAGAGCGTGCCATATCCTCGCTGGTCCTTCTGTTGGGGTCCTCCGGGGCTGAACGCGTAGGCGTCGGTTTATAAATGATTTCGGGTTACCATTCTGCATGAATTGGTCTCGGAGAAACGTAACCAACCAATTACTGATTGGTTGCAGGCGACCGAGGAGTCAACGGCGGACACAGGCATGCATTGACAGCTCGTTAACTGAGCGGAAGCTCTTTAATCGAGCCAACGCTTCTGCCAGTGGCTTGCTCGTTACCTGAAGCGCTCGTAGATGGGGCCGCTCGCCATCCGAGACTCCGTTGTGCCTGAGGTCAGCAGCTTATTTAGCCCTGAGAAGACAGACTGGACTGAACTTGGTGGGAATGCATGCCGCTGGCTTGAATAGCCGATTAGTATCTAGTGTAGTATACTTTGATTACTTTCATTCGGGAGATAGTTAGAACACACCTGCTGCAAACTATAAATACCGTGCAATCTGCGCATGTATCATCCCAATCTGTGCATGTCTCACGCTACCCTACAGTCACCTATGATTATGGATTCTCGACAGAATCAGAATTGTCGGGAAGATACATTTTTGTTCCATTGTTCGCGACTGACTGCTATGTTATTTGTATAGCGATACCTTAAACATTCGTGAGATTAGGTCCTAGAACCCGTAGCGAACCAGGAAGAACCGCGAATGTCTGCTGAGTGTCACTAAAAATACTCTAAATATGACGCAAGTTATGCTTCCGAAACACAATAATTTTATTTAAATGTTGGCTTAGTAGATTATACTTAAGAAAAAGTAAATTATCGTCCAACGTATATTTGTCACACTGGCGCATTAGCAGTGTTTTGACCCCCTGCTAATTCATTGGCTACTGTTTTATGTTGCACTCACAGTAACATTGAACAGAGTCACGAACTGGACTGCAAACTAAATAGTTGATATCTTCTTTTACATTGTCACGGAAATCATGTCGCGTAGATGCAATTCGATAAAATAAATAAAACACTCCTGTAGAGTGTCCAGCTATTTAATCGATGTAAAACTACGTATAGACGTCCAGAGAAATGGTAAGTTTTGAAAATCTGTGTTCGCACTAACTGCGACAAAGGGGGAGGAGAGAGAACAACAATACATATGTGCGTTTAAAATCTTAAATAAAAAAACAGTAGTCTGAGTCCTTTCTAATGATTAATTAGCTGTGCAGTACCCCTAAAATAATGCAAATGACGGCATGGCAAGCTGGATGAGTTACAGCTCTTCCGGCAAAGGACACTTCTTCGGGCCTCGGGAGTTGCTACCCCTAGATTTGGGTATGGCTATCGAGGAGATGTAAAGGCTAAGAAGATTAACCCTAACAGCTGCGATCTTCCAGGCCTGGTTCCTTAGGAGTGCGAGAAGTCTTGGGAA